GGAATGTCCCCCCTCCCAGTCCCGGAGGCCAGAAGCCCCAGATCTGTGTGGGCAGGCCCGGTTCGCCCTGGGGCCCTGAGGGGGCATATGTCCCAGGCCTCTCTCCCGACTCTAATGGTGCTGGCAGTCCTTGGTGTCCCCTAGCCTGTAGACACATCACCCCATCTCTGCATCCGTTATCACATGGTCTTTCCCTGGGTGTCTGTCTTCTCTTATAGGGACACTCATCATTGGATTTAGGGCCCACGGGGATAATCCGGGAAGAGGGCATCCCAAGATCCTTAACCCAGTCACATCTGCGAAGACTGCAAAGTCTCTTCTTCCAGATAAGGTCCATTCGCCAGTCCCAGGGCTGTGGATGTCTCTTCGTGGAGATGAAGAGACCACCTCGCCTGCAGGGGCCGCCCTCAGCCAGCGTGTGGGGGCTAGTAGCTCTCTGCGCTTTACTGAAAGCCTCCGGGCGCGGAGAGGATGATGCAGGGCCCGACTCAGTGTCTTCTGCTCTGAGGCAGGGGGATGTGCCTGGGGCAGTGCTGTGCGCCCTTTTGATGAAACTCAAAACCAGAAGTCCCGGGAGTGCCCCCAGTCTGCCAGCCGGTGCTTCCAGAACAGGGTTCTGAGAAGGGTGACAGTGCTTCCTCTTTGTGTGTTCCAGGTCTGGGGGAGACCCTAGGGCCCGGTGACCTTCCCATCGTGAGCGTCCCGCCCAGCCCTCCCCGTGCAGGCCTCGCGGGGGGCGTCCTGAGCGTGCAGCGGAGATGTCCAACCCCTTCCTGAAGCAGGTCTTCAACAAGGACAAGACCTTCCGGCCCAAGCGCAAGTTCGAGCCGGGCACCCAGCGTTTCGAGCTGCACAAGAAGGCGCAGGCGTCACTGAATGCGGGGCTAGACCTGAAGCTGGCCGTGCAGCTGCCCGCCGGCGAGGAGCTCAACGACTGGGTGGCCGTGCACGTGGTCGACTTCTTCAACCGCGTCAACCTCATCTACGGCACCATCAGTGACGGCTGCACCGAGCGCTCCTGCCCCGTCATGTCAGGCGGCCCCAAGTATGAGTACCGCTGGCAGGACGAGCACAGGTTCCGGCGGCCCACGGCACTGTCGGCCCCCCGGTACATGGACCTGCTCATGGACTGGATCGAGGTGCAGATCAACAATGAGGACGTCTTCCCCACCAACGTCGGTGAGTCTCTGCGCTTTCGTGTAGTTGTTTTTTTTTTTTTAATTTTCTTTTTCTTTATTTATTTCTGGTTGCATTGGGTTTTCGTAGCTGCGCGCGGGCTCCCTCCAGTTGTGGCGAGCCGGGGCTACTCTTCGTTGTGGTGCGCGGGTTTCTCACTGCGGTGGCTTCTCTTGTAGAGCACGAGCTCTGGGCATGTGGGCTCAGTAGCTGTGGCTCGCGGGCTCTAGAGCGCAGGCTCAGCAGTTGTGGCGCACGGCCTTAGCTGCTCCGCAGCATGTGGGATCTTCCCGGACCAGGGCTCGAACCCGTGTTCCCTGCATTGGCAGGCGGATTCTTAACTGCTGCGCCACCAGGGAAGTCCTCATGTTCTTTTCATAACAGTTTTATCAGGATGGAATCCACACCCTGTAAAACCCACCCACTTAAAGTGCACAGTTTGGTGTCATTTTAGGACAGTTACAGCTTCGTGAAGCTATCCGCTCTATCTAAACCCATCACCCTGGGACTTCCCTGGTGGTCCAGTGGTTAAGACTCTGCCTTGCAATGCAGGGGGTGCGGGTTCGATCCCTGGTCGGGGAACTAAGCTCCCACATGCTGCATAGTGTGGCCAAAAATTTTAAAAATAATAATAGTAAAATAAATAAATAAACCCATCACTCTAAAAGAAGCCCGTCCCTGTCAGCAGTCACTCCCCACCCCCTCCCCAGCCCCTGACAACCAGGAATCCACTCTGTCTCTGGATTTGCCGGTTTTGAACGTTTCCCATCAGTGGAATCACCCCGCTTTGTGTTCTTCTGTGTCTGGCTTCTCTCACTGAGCATCGTGTTCTCAGGGTCCGTCCGCGTGGTAGCGAGCGTTGGGGCTTCCCTCCTTTGCATGGCTGAGTGATGCTCCCGTGTGTGGAGGGACTACGTTTTGCTTCAAGTTAGGGATCTTGAGATGGAGAGATTATTCTGGATTATCTGGGTGAGCCCTAAATGTCATCACAAGGGTCCTAACAAGAGGGAGACGGAGGGAGACTAGATACCCAGGAGAGCAGAGGACAGTGAAGCTACAGGAGGAGGAAGGGATTGTGAGCCCAGATAAGGCAGGAACGGGTTCTCCCTGGAGCCCCCGGAGGACCCAACCCCGCCCACACCTGCACCTCGGCCCAGCACACCATGTGGACTCTGGCCTCAGGAGCTGTGGGAGAACCCGTATGAGTTGTTCTGAGCCACTGAGCAGGTGGTAACTTGTCCTGGCAGCCCCGGGCGATGGTAGCTGTCATTCTCACGTTCACCAGTGCGACACGGCTGCCTGGCAAACCACTGGCCAGTGGGCAGGCCTCGGGCCCAGCTCTTGGCCGCTGGCGTGCTCTGTGCCTCGTTAAGTTTCTCGCCCGCCGTCGGTACACTGAACCAGGCTGACCCTGGTGGGGTTTTCAGGGACTCATCTGGGAAAAGGCCATCCCGGCATCATCACTTGCCCAGAATTCCTGGGCAGCCCCCCATCAGGTTGCCGGGTCCATGTCTACACATGCTCCGTGTCATCCTGAGTCCCTGCCTTGCTGGGACCCCCTGAAGCCTCCCCAGCTCCTGAGCGGTCCACATCCTAGAACTCAGACCCTGAGGGCCTCTAGTCAGTGCCTCGCCCTCGGAAGCAAATTCTAGTAATCCTACCAAAGAGGAAAGCACGAGAAGGGCGAAAGAAATGACCTTGGCAGACGTCACTCAGCGGCCAACAGCAGGGGTCAGAGACCTCTGCCACATGGCCACAGTGGGTTCTGTGGCTGCTGGCGCCTTCCTCGGGCCACCTGGCCCAGGCCACACCTTCCAGCCCTGTCCACGGACCCCAGGGCCAGCTTCGCCCCTCACCTAGGTTCGACCCCCCAGCCAGGCACGCAGACTGGAATGCTGCTTTTTGCGGTCTGTGGTGCTGCGCAGAGCCTGCCTCGCTCCTCAGGGTGAAATTTGTGGGCAGGTCCAAAGTTCATCCTACCTTCCGTGCTGGCTCCAGTCACACCTGAGCATCCACTTAGGCCCCAAAGCCACCTGCCCACACTCTTGAGCTTAAACCCAGGTTCTTTCCCGTAAAAGAAACGTTCTTTCATAGACTTTTCCCATAAAGGGTCAGACAGTAAATCTTTCCGGTTTTTGCCTCTAGATGGTCTGTCTCAGCTACGCGGATCTGCTGTGTAGTCTGAAAGCTGTCATGGATGATATATAAACAGACAAGGGTGCATAAGGAGTGGGCCTGCGTTCCAGTAAAGCTTTATTTACAGGAGTGGGCGGTGGGCCGGATTTGTGACCCCCGTGTGAGGGCATCGTGGCAGGTGTGGGCAATGCAGTCCCAGAATCTTCTGTTTCTAGGCCCTTCTCCTACAGGGCTGCCGCTCCCCCTCCACCCAGGGTGGCCCAGGGTGACCTCAGTGACTCCTGGCACCCCTCTCCCACGAGAGGGGGCAGGGCAGGGCCTTAGCCTCGTTGGGCGCAGGACCCCGTGTGGCTGGTGCCAGCCACACCCTATGCTCGCCTTCCTCTGCCTGCCATGGGCTCTGCGCTCCCTCTGATTTCTTGACACTGTTAGGGGGACTTCCCTTATGGGGATCCCCATGCCCTGGAGACCACTGTCCCACCAAGTGGCTTTCACAGGCCTTCAAGACGGCGTGTGCTCCTGAGATGCCCCGTGAACGTGGTCGTCTCTCGAGAGTGGAGCATGCCTTTGTTTTAGCCTTTTTTCTCCGGTTGGATAGAGGGAGAAAACCCAGAGGCCTCACTGATGCTGAACGAACCTTCCGCAGAGGTAGATCCCTGGAGCCTCTGGGCCCTGTCCACCTGTAACAGACCTTCACAGGCACTTCCTGCCGATGGAATACCAGTCCCATCAGCTGTCACACCCACCAGGACACGCAGGAGGGAGCAGGACGGGAGCTGGGAAGGCGCACGTTCGTGGGAGAGTCTTTCCCGTTTGCCTCGTGCCTCCACAGTCCCGGGACCTTTCCCTGGTGTGAGCCGCCGCTTGGGCTCGTCTTCCACCTCCCACTTGGGCTGGGCTGTTCCCCGTCTCACTGCAGATGCCATCCCGTGACGCCGCCCTGCGCACGGATCTCTGGCACTTGCCTGCACGTCTTTGGGGCCTTTGCTCGCCGACCACAGGGCTGTGAAGCACAGCACCGTCCAGCAGCTGACCGCTCCATCTTCCGGAAGCGCGTGCCTTGTGCGCCGTGGCTTTCCTCGCGCTTGGTGGCACCTTTGTGCTCCTCCCCCTGGGCTGCCAGCTCGGGGGCCCCTCTCTTGAAGGACTGGGGCCGGTCCACCCTGGTCCTGGGCAGCCCCCTGGTAGTGCCAGTCAGGTGGAGCGAATGCGTGGCATCTGCCCTGTGGGACGAAGAGGACACGAGGTGGGAGCGGGCGAGCACGTGGGGGGCACAGACTAACACCGGAGGAGGGCTGAGTCCAGCAGTCCCACAGTACGTGTGTGTCACCACAATTTAGAAAACAGAGGGGCCTCCTGGTGGCAGAGTGGCTGAGACGCCATGCTCCCAGTGCAGGGGGCCCAGGTTCGAACCCTGGCCAGGGAACTAAGATCCCACGTGCCGCAGCTAAGCCCACGCGCTGCGACTACTGAGCCCAAGCGCTCTACAGCCAGCGCGCCACAGCAAAGACCCAGCGCGGCCAAAATAAATAAATAATAAATACACTTAAAAAAAATAGAAATAAAACGTATTAAATTCAGTAATTGGACAAGAAAGTGCAATATAGTTTACGCATGCAATTAAGTTAGGATATGTACATTCAAATTTAAGTGGAGAGAAAAGTGTATTAAGTGAAAAATGTCAAAGGCCAAAACAGGTTTTTATGGGTTCTCCAGTTCTATTTGGAAAAATAAACGTAACTGGAGACAGACACACACAGAAACCTTTTAGCCACCGGAAGTGGGATGGCGTGTCCACAGCTGGCCAGACCGGGGTGGGGCGGGGCGGGACACGTGCAGCAGGTGCTGGGCCGCGGGGGCTGCAGTCCCGGCACTCTATCTGCCGGCACCCCGCCCCCAGGCACTGTTAGGGAGCCAAGAAGTGGGCTTCCCGGGCCCGGGGCCCCGCAGAGGGGGGTTCGCGCCCGCGGCTGGGGGCGCGTCCTGGCTGAGCGGGCCCTGCCGCCTCCGCAGGCACGCCGTTCCCCAGGAACTTCCTGCAGGTGGCGAAGAAGATCCTGTCGCGGCTCTTCCGCGTGTTCGTGCACGTCTACATCCACCACTTCGACCGCATCGCGCAGCTGGGCTCCGAGGCGCACGTCAACACCTGCTATAAGCACTTCTACTACTTTGTCACGGAGTTTGGCCTCATCGACACCAAGGAGCTGGAGCCGCTGGTGAGCGGGTCGGGGCGTCGTGGGAGGCGAGTGCCCCCGGTCCTGGGGGCGCGGGCGGGCGGGTCGCTGCCTGCAGCTGCCCCCACTTCCCTGTGCGAGAAACAGATGGGCCTCTGGGTGCCTGTCCCCACCTACACCTCCTCCACCCACCCCCATCCCCTGCCGCCGGAGAACAAGGATTTTTTTGGTTTTAATTGAGGTAAAATTTGCATAACGTAAAATTAGCTATCGTGAAGTCAACGATTCAGTGGTGTTTAGCACATTCACAGGGTTGGGCAACTACCACCTCTATCCAGTTCCAGAACCTTCCTTCCGTCACCCCAAAAGAAGCCCCGTCCCCATCAGCAGTCACCCCCATCCTCCTCCCCAGCCCCTGCAACCACTAACCCACTTTATTTATTTCTTTTTTTAAAAGATTTATTTTATTCATTTGTTTATTTTTGGTTGTGTTGGGTCTTCGCTGCTGCGTGCGGGCTTTCTCTAGTTGCAGCGAGCGGGGGCTACTCTTCGTTGCGGTGCACAGGCTCCTCACTGTGGTGGCTTCTCTTGTTGCGGAGCACGGGCTCTAGGCGCGCGGGCTTCAGTAGCTACAGCATGCGGGCTCAGTAGTTGTGGCGCAGGGCTTAGTTGCTCTGCGGCATGTGGGATCTTCCCAGCCCGGGGCTCAAACCCGTGTCCCCTGCATTGTCAGGTGGGTTCTTAACCACCGTGCCACCAGGGAAGCCCCAGCCCCTATTCTTTTACAACTTTTAAAAATCTCTGAAAACAACTTCACAGAACTTTCTCATTTGTGTATATTCCCTTGCAGGCTCTGCCTATCAGTAAACATTTTTCCGGAGTTAAAGTTACAGTGTGCATGCTTAGTGGGGTTGGGGTTTTCCTCTGGGGTAGTGGAATGTTCTGGAACTAGAGGTGGGGTTGTGCACCCTTGTGGAGGTGAATGCCTCTTGACCACAGTTCCTTTTATGTGAATCTCACCAAATACTGAAAATCATCGTGTGCAGTTTTGTGATCAGCTCACTTTGGTTTGGTTAACTCAGTGCCCTAATCGCATGGTCATTTGTCCCGCACTGATGCTTAGAGTTAGCTCTTTCTGGACACAGGGACTGTGGGACCCTTCACAGAAAGAGTCTGTGCCCCGGCCTGAGGCGCGCTGCCGTCTGCTCTGTATTTCATAAGATTTGCTTTAAGTGAGGCCTGAGGGCTCCCGTGAGACTGCGTCCCCCAATTTCCTGTGTGATTTGCTGATGTCCTGCTTGTTCTTAACAGAAAGAAATGACCGCACGGATGTGCCACTGAGAGCCCCTTGGCCCCGTAGTCACCGAGTCCGCGCCCGGGGGACAGTCCTACTTGAGGGCCACGTCTCCAGAACAGGGACCGGTATTTTCTAGCCCAGCAAATTCTGTGCTGTCTGGGCTGCGTCCTCTCTCCGATCCCAAGGTGGCAGCACCCGTGGGTCTGAGCCTCCCTGAGCCCCAGTCTCCTCGGCCAGCACGGGGGAGATAGATAGAACTTGAACTCTGTGATTCCATGTGTTGTGAGCAACCGGGAAAACCCACTTCATTTGCAAACCGCTTGCACCTGCCCGGAGGCTGGCCCCACTTGGGTCCGTCTCCTGCACCAGCCCGCCTGCTCGGCCGTGGGTGGCCAGGCCCCCATCAGCGAGGCTGAGACCCCGCAGTGCCCCCCGCTGCGGCCCAGGCCTGGTTCCGAGTGGTACGAGCGCTTGGCTTGCGTCCTCCCGGAGTCCTCCCGGCGTCCTCCCCGCAAGCCACTTCCGTCCCGCTGTTCCTCCGGGACCCTTAGGCTCCCGTGCCGGCTTCCCAAGCCCATGCCCACATCCCAGGTGTCCTGGGGCCCCTTCATGTCGCATAAAAGATTGAATTTGTCTAGTTGCATTTACGACCACCATGAGATGTTACCGGAATAAAAAAGTTTTTTACCTACAAGGAGTGATCCCCCTCCCCTCTAGAAAAAATGTCCCCTTTCCGTCGTGAATAGTAGTATGGTTCTGCCAGGGAACGCCTCTCCCCTGGTTTGGGACCTTTGAGTTTTGCCGAATGTTTAGCCGGACATAGCCTTGCTTCACACGCCTGCCAACTTCATATCGAAACCCTTTGTCAGCGTGGCCGTCCGTGGCTCCGGGACCAAAGCCCAGCACCGTCTCCCCGCAGAAGCTTGGGGGCCCTGCCCGCTCGCGCCCCACCCGCGCACAGCATCCTCCGTGGCCTTTCGCCGTGGCGGTCCTGCCCGCCTGGACCACACCAGCTCTGAGTACCTCTGGGTGTCTGGGACGCTCGCGGGGAGACAGGGCCGCCACCCGACACCAACACCCAGCAAGTGCAATTAACACGACCTGGGCCTCGGTCCTTCCAGCAGTTGCCGGGGTCCCGCTCCCGGAGTCCTGGAAAGACTGCAGGAAACCGCCCGGTCGCGTGTAGCTCCTCTTAAATGCAGAACCGCGACCAAACGCCGTAACCACTGTGCCACTCAGGTCACCAGCCAGGTTGGAAGGGTGGCGGGGCTGGAGGGGGCGCTCCCCTGCCCACCCTCCCGTGCCCGTGGGTGTTCCCAGAGGACCATCAGAATAAATCACGTGTCTCCTTACCTGCACCTGATGGTTGTCATTTCTGTCTTCCTGGTGGGAGGGCCTGGCATTGGGACACATCCCCAAGTGGCAAAGAAATCTTAGAAATCACAACAGTTTGTGGCCCCCCCCCCAGAGTGTCCCAAGTAGATAAACAGATGCACGGAATATCAGTGGGATTAGAATTTCACAGGGTGCAGGGCGGGGCTGATGAGGACCAGAGTCTGGAAAGCAGGTTGAGACGGCGCCCACTCCCTCTCCCGTTTCTGCTTCGTCTCACGTTGCTTTCGGCACTCAGCAAACAAGATTTTAACTGTTGCCTCTTTGCTATGTAAAGAAGGTTCCAGAAAACTTTGAGCCAAGTGGGAACAGAGGGGTGTTTTCTGTCTCAGCCCCGTCCTAACTATCCTGTGACCTTGACACATGACTTTACCCCCAAAATCTCTTATATGTGAGGAATGGGAACGGCTTACTTACTCTCAGGGGTCGTGGGGCTGACAGGATGGTCTTTTGCCAGGCGGGTTGGGGGCCTGTGCTCCAGACCTTCCTGCCCCTAGAGGGCGTGCCGTCTCCATCGGACAGACAGAGTGACTTGGGGGGACTCCCCATCACTTGTAAATACCTTCTAAAGAAGCTGCTGTTTCCTTACCCCCTTGATTTTGCAAATGCACCACAGAGGTTTCCAGGACCAATTTAAAGTTTGGGGAGCTGTGATTCGGAACAACAGACCCTGAAGCCATCCACACCCCGGTCCCAGGACCTGTGGATGTGTCACCTCACGGGGAAGAGGGGACTTTGCAGGTGGGATTAAGTTGAAGCCCCTGAGATGGGGATGACCCTGGATTCCCCGGGGGGGCCCAGTGTCATCACAGGGCTCTTATAAGAGGGAGGCGGGAGGGTCAGAGGCAGAGAGAGACGGGAGACGCTGCGCTGCTGGCTGTGAGGATGCAGGAGGGGCCGCGAGCCAGGGATGCGGCGCCTCTAGAAGCTGGAAAAGGCGGGAACCGATGCTGCCCTGGAGCCTCCGGAAGGACCAGCCCTGCCCACGTCTGGATTTAGCCCCGTGAGACTCGTTTTGGACTTGTTACCTCCAGTACTTTAAGGGAATAAATTCATATTATTTAAGCCACTGAGTTTGTGGTGACTTGTTAGAGCTGCCACGGGAAACTCACACACCCTTTAGAAGGAAAAATTTCGCACACAGAATGCCTGGGACCCGCTGACTTGGGCTGCCTGGAATGTGAGAATTAGCCAGGCCAGCTTCTGAGCAACTCCTCCCTCCACAGGCCTGAGAATCACTTGTCTTAACAGGACGGTTCACCCCAAAACTTGTCCAACCAGGAGAGGTAGTGGGGGGCAGGAAGTGGTGTCTGGAAGTCTGGTCAGCCGGGGCAGTGGTAGAAGAAACCAGCTGTGTTGCTTGTACAAGACCGGCTGGCCCGGTTCCTTCCCGGTCAGCATGGGAGAGGCTGCCACTTAGACAGCGCTGTGGATTCGTGTCATCCCAGTGGAGGTGACCAAGAAGGCAACCTCTGGTGTACCCGGAAGGTATGTTCTTCCAGGAAGAGGAGAGCTGCTTAGTAGGGCCATCTTGGAAAGATCAGGAGCCCCGTGCTACTGAAAACTTCCAGACTGGGGCAGGCATTGCTCTAGTGTCCCATGCTGTCCAGTATGGCAGCCACTAGCCACAGGTGGCTGTTTCACTTCTAATTCAAGATCAACTGAAAGGAAAATGGGGAACTTCCCTGGTGGTCCAGTGGCTAAAACTCCACGCTCCCAATGCAAGGGGCCCGGGTTCGATCCCTGGTCAGGGAACTAGATCCCACATGCCCCAAATAAGATCCAGTGCAGCCAAACAAATAAATAAATAAATAAATAACATTTTTTAATTAAAATAAAAAATAAAAGGAAAATGTCTCAGCTCCTCCATCGCACTAAAGCCCTTGTCGGTGGTGTCTCCACGGCCACCCATTTCTGCCACGTCTGTTGCCACTGCTTCTAGAAGCAGTTCCTGAGTCAGAACGAAGGTCAGGTAGAGATGATTTGAATCCTTTCCAGTTCATAAAACTCGATGGTGAAATCCGGAATGTGATCATTGGTTCTCACCTGGACCACCAAACGGAGAGGCCGTGTGGGGTCATGGAGGACAGATGGAGGATTTGAAAAAGCCCAGATAGACTTGTCCTTCTGTTGAGAACCAAATGAAGCCCCTCTGGGTTGTTGCCATTATTTTATAGCTATGATAAATATTCCTCTAGCCGAATCTTTATAAACATGCTTAATTTTTTTTTCAATTTTTTTTTTTCAATTTTTTGGCCACCCCGAGCAGCATGTGGTATCTTAGTTCCCTGACCAGGGATCGAACCCATGCCCTTTGCAGTGGTAGCACAGAGCCTTAACCCCTGGACCACCAGGGAAGTCCTTAAACATCCTTAACTATTGACATAGCCAATACTTGCTGTTGGTGTCAGAGGGAATTACGTTGTAGGGTATTTTTGTACGTGTTATGCAGTACCCTGCAGATAGGGGAAACCAATTTACACCCCCATCGAGGTGTCTGGTGGTTCCCATTTCCTGCATCCCCCTCCCAACACTGGGACTTAGGCTTTGAGTCACTTATCGATTCGAGGTGGAATATCCTCGTTGTAGTAATTCATTATTTTGCTTGTTTAATTTTTTTATTTTATACTGGAGCATGGTTGATTAACAATGTTGTGTTAGTTTCAAGTGTACAGCAAAGTGATTCAGTTATATATATATACATGTATCTATTCTCTTTCAAATTCTTTTCCCATTTAGGTTGTTACATAATATTGAGCAGAGTTCCCTGTGCTATATACACTACGTCCTGATAGGTTATCCATTTTAAATATAGCAGTGTGTACATGTCAATCCCAAACTCCCTAGCAGTAATTCATTGTTGACCAGAGATATTGCCAATTCATATCCCTTGTCCATTTTTCCATTGGGAAGTGGTCTTTTACTGGTTTCTGAAAACATTTTACATATGGGCTTATTAATGGTTTTTACTTGTTTATAAAAGCTTTCCTATATATAATTTGTCATATATGTTACACAAATTTCTCCTGGTTTCTTGTTTGTCCTTAACATTATTTATGATCCTTTTGACATACTTTTCCCTTCTTCTTTTTTTTTTTTAATTTTTGTTGGAGTATAGTCGATTTACAATGTTGTGCTATTTTCTGCCCTACAGCAAAGTGAATCAGTTATACATACACATATATCCACTTATCCTTTATTCTTGAACGTTCATATTTTTGGTCAACGTTTTTCCCTGATGGTTTCTAGCCCTGGCGATGAGCTTGTAAACTTGAGCTGGGGAAGGCCTTTATATGAATATTCACCTCTGTTTTCTTCTCGTTCTCCACGTTTCTTTTTTTTTTTAATATTAAGTACCGGGTAAACTAAAGGGTTTAATTTCCATGTATGGTGAAAGGAGAGGCTCTAGAGAAATTTTTACTTTTATTTTTTTTAATTTTATTTAGTTATTTAATACTTAGGTGCTCCAGTGTTCGATGCATTTTTATTTATTTATTTATTTATTTATTTATTTATTTATTTATCGGCCACACCCCGCAGCATGCAGGATCCTAGTTCCCCAACCAGGGATTGAACCCGCGCCTCCTGCAATGGAAGCACGGATTCCTAACCATTAGACCACCAGGGAAGCCCAAATTTTTTATTTTTTAAATAATAAGAGAATCCCCTGTTCCAACACCATATGACTCTCC